GCACCATCTTGTGCATGTGTGTTAGCTTTTCAAAAACATTTTCCAAAGGATTAGCACTGAATTCACCACGCCACTTGATTCTAGTAACGATGCAAAGTTAGATCACTCGAGTGGCACTAGATGACCGATATGCAAACAAGTTTGTCCCTCTTGATAGTACGGCCATCTATTCTAAACTCGGTTATAAACTTCTCTACACACCTATGACCGGTAAAATAAAATGCCCTATAGGTTATACCTTTGCCTTGCGTATTCCATTCCATCTCCTCCGATGTTGATGCAACACATGCACTAACCATATCACAAATGATATAATCCACTTCATATCATCACGTGACCTTATTGGTTCATCGATCTTAACCTCTCTTGCTTTTCACCGTTGTCTTTGTCCATCGGTGTCAAGTCTTGCTCAAGCTTTATCGCCAAGCGGTCCATCGCTCTAAAGCCTCCAACTTGCCCTTCATACTTGCAACCGGTCCATCAAGCCATGTCTTGTCTTGATCTTCTCCACCTTAGTCACATGACTCAATGTCATGTCTCATATGCAATGAGCTCCTTTATCACACGTGTGAGCCTTGCAGCAAATCCAAGCCATCTTCACCGTCATGGCATGAGTTGCTCACACAAGTGTATCTATGGACTAATCACATGTGTATCTCACAATTAAATACATTAGTCCACCTCTGTTGACACTTAATTACCAAAACCAAACAAGGACCTTTCATTGAACCCTCCTTGGCCCAGCGCTAGATCCATCCCTAGGCGTAAGGTCTGATTAGTAGAGGTTAATTATGTTTTTACATCGTAGATGTCCCCTTCCGGGCTAACTCTCTCTTTTAAAGAGGATATAGAACGGAAGCAGACGCCACCGTCGCCGCTGCCACACCGCTGGTCCTAGGGCCCCTCTCCTTCGTCCCTTTTCTCGCAGTTTTTCTATCTAGTTGCTTAGGGTTTAGTCCAATAAATTTTTCGGTGAAATCAGATGATTATCGGGCGGGATTGTGTTTCTGCGACAACTTCGGTGATTGCCATGACAAGATCGCCGTTGTAGGCGTTGATTTCATCGGCAGGCGACTATTTTGTGGCCTTTATCTACAAGGGAGGGGTTCTCCTGGGAGCCCCCTATGAGGATAGCGACTCTAGATCATCGACCTCATCGTCGATGGTCTTTGAGAGGATTTCAAGGTCTCGACGTAATGAATTTATAGCCTATGTCGTATCTGACGATGCAACTGTCGATATGCTTTCAATGATTTAGATGCGCTTTTGGACTGGTTTTCAAAGTATTGGATCTTGCGGCATGTCCAATGTTTTGGGGTTGGTCGTTGGATATGGCATAATGACTGCACTTTGGCACCGACGTTTGAGGGAAGCCATTGAAGAAGAAGATGATGAAAAATCTGGATAAAATATTATATATTTTTTATTTTAGATTTTTATACATAATTTGGGGACGTACTATGCTAAGATTTAATATAAGTTTCCTTCTCTTGGAAAGAAAAGATGATACAGAGCTCAGCCTCGTGGTCACGCACGCAGGTGCTTAGCTATGATTCCATTCATTTCTAGCAATCATAGCATTGCGCTTGCAGGATAGTTGAGTTCTCCTAGGCTTTCGATGCTTCAGTTGGTGTAGTGCCTGTTGCTGGATCAGCAACACTAGAACACTCTTGCTAACAGAGCCTATCAGATTGAGGCTATCATTGACATAGTTACTAGGATCAGATTGGACATCGAACCGTTCTACGCCTCGGTTCACGATTTGATTGCTCTAACAAGTTGAGCCGCTGGTTTAACCCGATTCAAATAAAATGAATAATGCTCTCTAACCCCGGAGACAAAGGTTCAAATCCCTACTCTAGGCTGCTTGGTTTTGAGGAACTTTTTTTGAGAGATGCTCTCCACGCTTGCCACGCGGTCTAGGCTGCTTGGTTTCCCTAGTTTAAAGTCCGGTTTATATTGTTTTCTATGGAAAAAATGTAGGTCATTGGTTTTATATTAGTTCTTTTAGGTGAATTGAACCGGCTGGGGTGCTTTTGTTTTTTATTGATTGGGTTGTCGATCCAGTTCGGTCCTAAGACTGACTCCAACCATAAGGACGCAAATACAAGACCTATTTCTTGATTTGGGTCCCATCGTACGGATAAAAGGTCGCAACCCAAAACTTCGCCTTCTCAAAAATAATAAAATAAACCTCATGACCCTCCACTCTCAAGCACCCGCCTATGCCTTGAGCACCTTCAAACCCTAACACCACTCAATCGCTTCAGACAAAAGCCCTCCCTCCCCTTCTTCTTCATCCCCATCCCTCCTCCTCCCTCTTCTTCCCAAGCTCCCCTCTCCCGGCGGATCCGCCCTCCCTCCCTTCTTCTTCCCCGGCTAGGATCCGCCCTCCTCCTCGCCCCCTTCCCCTTCCGATATTTTCATGGCCATGGTCGCTCTTCTGAGGTCGTGCCCGAGAGCTCCGCTAGCGGGCGCCCCCTCGTGACACCCTAGTGGCCTGAGAAGCCGCCATGGCCGCCCAACAATCCTGCTATTGCAAATCAGTCTTGGCTTCGCCTGCCGCAGTGATGATGACAAGAGCCGGAGGAGCCCTTGACTGGAAAGGGTCCACGCCGAGGGAGCATCATCCTAACGGATCTCGCCCTCCTCTCTTCTTTTTAAAGATTCTTCCATTTTGTCGAGTGGTGATTGGATCCGCCCTCCTCCCTTCTTCTTCCCTATTCCCTTCCAACTAAGGGCAATGAGAAGATGAGGAATCCGCCCTCCTCTCCCGGATCTAATAGCGGCTCTCCATTCTCTTGATCCGTGCATATTTGGCCGGTGGTGCGTGGTGGTGGTGGTGGTGGTGGTGGCTACAACAAGTGTTCTCTTCTTCCACCACCCCCAAATGTTGCGCCCACCCGCCAACATGGACCTTTGTCGGAGCGAGCGCGGATGGTCGAGCTCAAAGGCATCCACTCGCCATCGTGGTATGCTTCTCCTCCACCCACCATTCAACAATGAAGGAATATCCAAGACAAAGGAATATATTTCCCGCCAGATACTAGCCAGGAGGCGCCATGATCCCAGAACACAAAATGTTGTGCTTCGTGATCAGGAGACGCAAAAGAACTGGAGAGAGATCATTGTTGAAGTTTGGGTAGCGTGTTGCCTCCGACGCAAAATGCCTCCCGTGTTTGAGGACTCCGTTGGAGGGTTTTTTTTACCGCAAAAGCACTGTTCACTATGCATTTTGGGGATGCGTCGTGGTTTGCCAACACCGTTGGAGAGAGTCTAATAATGTGCTCATGAACAACCCCCAAATTAAGTGGCTGGCAACCAAGGCCAAGAGGTTTGAGTGAAGCGCTTTTAAGCGAGCGATCATTACTGATGAGGGCCATTTATCGATGGAGGCTAACACTCTTAATAGTTCTAGTACAAATAAAATTACTCATATAGACTAAAAAATATTGAGACTACTATTCACACAATGCAAACTATGGCTATTTGTGGTTTGCACAGAAATTTTTCTTTTCATCATGCCTCACCATTATTTCTACCACCTCATGGACCACCTTTTCTCTCCCTAAATATATGTAGCTTCTGCAAATTACTATGACAAATATAGAGCAAATACTTTTTTTTATTCGATTCTAGCACTTGGGGCTACAAGTAATCAGAAAGCATAGGGGGAGGCCTTATGACTGGGTCATAAAAGCTATAACAACCAAAGTCGTCCACAGATAATAAATTTTTTTACTATTCACAAAAAAACATGGCTCAACGTGGTTTGACTTATCCGTTTCATTTCAAAACCATCGGTCGAAAGGAGCTTCTACGCCCTCATTCGTTTGAACTTGGATTACATTATAAGTTTCGCGAACCACTATGAAAATATATGCTGAATATTTTTTATCCCATTCTAACACTTGGTACAAGTAAAAAAAATACTATTAGTTGAATGATAAACCATAGCTTTGGCAGCCAAATACGACCGACGAGCGATCAGTCTGCTAATCTGTCGGAGACCAAAAAGGTTATCCGTAAAATAAAACAAATCAGCGGTGCGCGCCAGCATCGTCGCCGCAGGCCGCAGCACACACTTGCGTGCGGGCTCGCCAAAACACGCGCGCCGCGCTTCGCCTACCGCCGCACCGCAACCTGGAGCCATAAGCACTCCATCCGCCGCAGCGAGCAGCGAACAGCCACACGCCCCCACTGGCTCCGCGCCACGCGTCCGCGGACCGACACCTGCCGGTCGCGTCCCGGACACGTGCCCTTCGAAAGCGCACGTGGCGCCACGGCAGTGGCTCCCTTACCTGTCAACGCGCCCCGCCGAAACCACCCGCGGATTCTCCGTGTGGCTCCCGGGCCCGCATGGCAGCCGCACGGGCGAAGCTTCGTGGGGTTGGAGCCCTCGGGCGAAAAGCGCGATCAGGAGAGTGGTTACTGAGGTGGTTGATAAGGTTGAGAAAGATCATCGCTGCCTATAAAAGAGCAGGTGAGCTCCTCAACCCAAACACACCCCAATCCCCTTCTTCCTCCACAAACGCACCGCACTCCACGGCAGCCAGAAATCCCAATCCACACACACACACCGTCTCCGTGAGGTCTGAGCGAGGTAGGAGTACTAGCTCTGAGCGAGTTCTTCCGTTTTCCAGGTATAATCCTTGCGACTGTCAGTCTCCTCCTGCCATCCCTCATCTCTCGTTCATAGTTGTTGGATTTCTTCTTCTTTTTCCTTGGATCCTACTAGCCTGCCTACTAGAACAGAGCTCCAGAGCCTTTTAGTTTCTGGTCTCTGATCTACTCCTTTTCTTTTCTACATCTCTCTGTCTGTTCACTGATCATCAGTCAGTAGATCTGTCGTGCCTGTTCTTTGATTTTAGCTAAGGACAAGGCGATTTATTCTTCTTTCTTGAAAAAAAAAATTCTCAGAACAAAAAGTTGTGAGTAGTATATTCTTGTACCATTTGATGGCGGCTGCTATAAATCTCCCCGGCCCCAGCGAGGATCTGATGCGAGCGATGGAGTCCTTCATGCAAGAAGACGACGCCCCTTCGCCTCTGTTGGTCATGCCGCCGGCGCCGCCTCTCCCTCTCCCGGCGGCCGGAGCCCACGGCCACGGGGCCAAGCAGTGCCCGGCGACTACCCACCTGAGCCCGGCGCAGATGCAGTTCATCCAGGCCCAGCTCCACCTGCAGCGGAACCCGGGCCTGGGCCCGCGGGCGCAGCCCATGAAGCCCGCGGTCCCCGTTCCACCGGCGCCGGCACCGCAGCCGCGGCCGCAGAAGCTGTACCGCGGCGTGCGGCAGCGGCACTGGGGCAAGTGGGTGGCCGAGATCCGGCTCCCCCGGAACCGCACCCGCCTGTGGCTCGGCACCTTCGACACCGCCGAGGAGGCGGCGCTCGCCTACGACCAGGCGGCGTACCGCCTCCGCGGGGACGCGGCGCGGCTCAACTTCCCCGACAACGAGGCGTCCAGGGCGCCGCTCGACCCCGCCGTCGACGCCAAGCTCCAGGCCATCTGCGCCACCATCGCCGCCGCGTCGTCGTCGTCCAAGGGCGGCGCCAGGGCCAAGAGCAAGGCCATACCGATCAACGCGCCCGTCCTGGAAGCCGCTGCGGCGGCGGCGTGTCTGAGCAACAGCTCCTCCGACGAAGGCTCCGGGTCCGGGTCCGGGTCGGACGACGAGATGTGCTCGTCCTCCCGGACGACGCCGGTGGTAGCGGACATGGGGCAGCTGGACTTCAGCGAGGTGCCGTGGGACGAGGCCGACAGCGTCGTGCTCCGCAAGTACCCGTCCTACGAGATCGACTGGGACGCGCTGCTCTCCAACTAGTCGCCCTTCTTCGCCGATCAGATGTGCTGTTGTAGTTAAGTAGTGATCGTCCGCCATGGCCGGCCGCCGCAGATGAGGTTTTAGGCAATCTGCAGGCCGCCGGCACCTGTTTAGTAGTGATCAAGTAGGTTCTGTTCAGTTGGTCCCCGGGCCTCGCCGGCGTTTTTGTGACCGGCGTCCCAGCTCCGGATGTAAAATGTTTAGTGAGTGCACAGCATTGGTGTACTGGTCTGTCTGTAAAAGAAAAATGGATCTGTAGGGTGTAATCAAGTGTTGTTCTTAGTGCTAATGATATTCGTGCTGTGAATTTTCCTCTACGGATTTGGTTCGTTGCTCCATGCTTGCCATTGTGTTCTCTTGATGCATGCTACAGGACATGTTCTTGTTAACAGGTCTTGTTCTAGCTTGCCAGCGTCTCTATCTACCTGCAGAAATGGCAGAAAGTCACGGATTGTGTACAAGTATAACAGCTCGGTTTGTTTGTCCAACGATGAAGTGGACACTAGGACAGTCAAGTTCTCATGCAAACAAAGCGCGTTTCATGGCAGCGGCCATTTCTCCCAAGGATAATCAGTGCTGCAACTAGTAAAAGGATCAGGCAGCGTTCACTGCAGCTTGCCCTTGCTAAGCTCGTCTCTTTCTCTTCAGTGACCACTGATATCTTGCGTTGCTGTGCAGAGACAGACGTTTTGGCACTGGAGAGGCTCTGTCAGGCTGAGCAAATTGGTACTACTACTAGAATCTCCATCGCGATTCTTCGAGTTGTGAATCGTCCAAGACGGAGCTTCAGAAGCCATCAGTTTGCTTCCCGAAACGTGTTCGGAGCCTCGGAGGCAGATTGAAATGGATGGAGCGCACGTCGCGGGGTCCGTCCGCCCGTTGTCCCAATCCGGCGCCGTGCCTGACTGACGTCTCCACTTGCGATCGCAAGGCAAGCGGCGACCGTTGAATGGAATGAATGCGCCTCCCCCTGCTGCTGCCGCCCGTTGTCCTTGTCCAGTTGTCCACATGTGCGTGCGCGTCGAGCAACACGACCACGTCGTGGCTTCCCGATTTGTGGCCCACGGGCTGCTCTTGATGAGAAATACTCCTAAGCCTCATGGGCTACTTATGTAGAGTGATGGCGATGAGTAACGCTCACAAGTTGGGCCGGAACAGCCCACGGAAATCTAGTGCAGGCCGTCGTGCGCTGCTTCGTATGTCATGGCCGTGGGTGAAGAAGGCCCGATGGGTTCGGGGCTCGCGCGCTCTCTAGCCTCCAATTGGTCGGAGGCCAGTCGACTTTCGATCACTCCCTTCTAATTATGGGCCGAATTAACTGTGGGCTTATAATAGAGTAATGGTAGATTGTCCGTATATACAAAATAAAAATGCATTATGCTGATGTCATGGTTTTGTTCGTTCGAAAGTAAAAAAAAACATACTTTACAAATCAAACATTCAAATCAAATTCTGATAGTGTCAATGTGATTCTCAAAATAAACTTTCAAAATAAGACTTCACTTGGAAAATGTTTCGTTGGAAAATACTTTCCTAGTTAGGATAGAACATTTCTTTTTATTAAGCATGAGAATGTAGGTTTCAGCATAAAATGTTTCGCCTTCACAAAAAAATGTTCTAGATTCAGGATAACAATATTCTATATTTGGAACAATAAATTTATAGGGTCAAGTGAATGTTATTGTATGATACACGTATCCAGCATTAGAAAAATTGACAACATCACATGGAAATAGTGGTAACTACGATTGAAAATACATCTAGAACATCTACGGTAGTTGTGTGAATAATCGAAAATACGTCATGGAACATCTCATCTATACTATGTGAAAACATGCTCCTCCCTCTGTTCCAAATTATAAGTTGTTTTGGTTTTTCCAGATACATAACTTTTGTTATGCACCTAGATACTACGCCAAATCTAGAGAGGAAATTATTTCCTCGGCCTTAAAAAAGTGATGCTTAGTTTTTTGGTCCTTTTTTCTCGAACTTGCTTATTTGGTCATAAAACGAATTTTCTTTGGTTTCTTAGCCCTTCTGTTAGTTTGATGGACTAATGGTGTTAAGTTGTATGTGAAATGACTCTTTCCTTTATAATTTATTTAAAAAAAATATATGACGTTTATAGCGAGCCAATTAATTCATCTTAAACTAAAGGAACGCGCTGCCAATTCAAAGTCTTCTTTTCCATGTTTGGACTGCTCATTGAACTCTAAAAAAATGCGATTAAGTGATTTCTGTGTTGTAAACAAGCCATCGACTTAACACTACTAGGTTCTCTAGGTAGCAAATCCTGGCGTTCCGTGAGATTGCTCCCAACAACCTGCATCACTTGATCAAATGCATGATGCATATCAGAATACGTCCTACAGTAAGAATATTTTTTTCGTTTATAATAAGGAACTGTCTAGCACACACACACGGGTCTTTTGCGGGCCCACAATACTTTTTTTTTGCCGCATCTTCTTCCTACTCGTGCCCCATCCCGCCCTCCTCTATCTCCAGAGGCTCCCCGCCGCCGGATCTGCTGTAGCCCACCACTGCCACGCGAATCTAGCTTCACCGGGTTATCACTGTGACGCCCCGTCGTCCGTCCCCTGTCCAACCATCTTCCTCCACCGCTTGGCCAGTGGCTCTACCACCGCCTCGCCCCGGGCCCTGCTACCCCCACACCGGCCTGCCACCATCGCCGGTCCGGCCCCTAGATTTTTCTTCTAAGCTCACTGAACCCCAAACCCTAATTAACAAGCTAACCACAGGGCAAGAAATCGAGTGTTGCATTGCTCCAAAGCAAACGAGTGTCATTTAGCATTTCTCTGGTAATAATGCTTATACTAGTAGAACATAAAAAGTGACTCCACGAATTATGCTGCGGGGGCAGGGGTCGTCGTCTGTGGATGGATCTGGCCAGTGTCCCGCGATTTCTACTCAATTCTCCAGATACAAAGAACGCAGAGTGGAAGAGAATGTGGCATATATCATCATAGAAATATCGCTGACGCAGAGCGGCCCTGAGGTGCTGTTGCATGCGCACGTGGGATTGCTGGCGACAAGGATCGTATTCGTATCGTACCGGAGACGAGCGGATGAGCATATTAAGAACCTCCCGTCAGTGAAGTTATGCTGGTTGTATTCTGCATTTCTGCTGCATTGCATAATTTGCATTGCACTGCATGCGACAAAGACAGTGCGATGCTGACGCTCCCCTCCTCCCTTTCCAGGTAGAGGCACTGAGGCAGCGCAGGAACCTGCGCCAGCGCCAGCGCAGGTATCTGACTGATGGAAATGTATCAGTCCATGTCCACTCAAACTCGGCAACTCCAGCGACGACGGACCCGAAACCGGACACCGAACGCCGGCGCCGGCCGCGGGTACAGTCCCATGACCTTCCATTCCACTCCAACTGGACTGGTCGCGCGCATGCAGCAGCCAGCAGGTGCCCCTTCCGCTTTCACCTGCTAACTAATCCATCGCACCGCACCTTTTCTTATCTGCCTATCGTCTCTTATCTCCCGGCCTGATAAAAAGCACCCAGCACCATCCGTCGCCTGATCGACTCGCCTCCGATGTCCGATCCTCATCACGTGGCCCTAGCTGCCCTCTCTCACTCTCATCTGCCAATTGCCGTATCGTACCTGCTGCTTTTTTCTGCTCTTGGTATATCTGAGGATGCTCAACAAAAGTACACCCAACTTTTTATCTACCTAGTAGGAAGCAGACTGTTTCTTTACACGCGATTAGAAACTACTTTTTTATCATCAACTGTCAGTCTATCTGTCTATCTATCCACTTCAACTTTATCGCAAAGCAAGTTTTAATTTGCAGTCCTCTTCTAGTACCTACATTGCGGCAAATAAACTGCTGGCAAGCACGCCGCCGGAAAACAAAGCAGCTCCTCCATCTCGCCACTGTGCACTTTGCTGCTCACCCCGAGCGAGCGAGTGGCGTGCAGTGTGCTGTGGTGGTTTCTACTTTTCATCCTGCATCGTACGTACACGTCCTGACCCCGACGACGCAGCGGCTGGTGACATGCCAATAACGAGTTCATGGCACTTGCAGATTGAAGAGCTAGCCTACAAGAATACAACTCAACGAGTCCCATCGTTTTATTACTTTAATTTCTTTGGAGATACACTTCAAGTGACCCTCCCGTTGCTGCGTATTGGAATCATGTCTTTGGTGCTCTTGTACGTGGTGGCCTTGTTCTGCTAGTCATATCGATCGGAAGGTGGTCATATCTCATCGGTAAACCATTGATTTCAGCCTAGTCACAATTGGACACTGAATATTGATTGCATCACACGGCGCTTGCTTGGGAATCTCTATACCATGTCACGGTAGCCTGCGGTTGGATTTGATCGCATTGAGCTTCGACAACCACTACACATATTTTTATAGCAAACTCTATTCCATGACCTGTCGCGTGCTTGCGTGACCGCATGGTCACGCTTTAATTGTTTCATTTGAAATCCAAGGAAGAAACTCAACTCTCTAATCATGGACATCTCAAACTTTTTTGCCATCATTTTTTCAAACTCTTCACAAAAGTTTTAATTTGTTGATCCAAATATGATGTCATCTCTCAACCTTCCCCATTTTCGAAACCCTTCCAATTCTTTTGGTGAAGAGGGGAGTGTCAACCTTCCCCATTTTAGAACCCTTAGAGTGGAGAAAATCTCTCAACCTCTAATAACATGCTCTAGGTGTTTGTTTCAAACAATAGAGAGTCTTGATCAACTTGTACACATGTTTGGGCCTTTTAGCATGTTCAAATCTGGGAGTTGCTCTACAAAGACTAGCTCATTGATCTTCCCACTCAAGAAAGTACTATTCACATCTATTTGATATAACTTTGACGTTGTGAGAGCATGTGTAGGGCAAAAGGATTCTAACCGCTTTCAATGTAGCAACTGGGGCATATGTTCCAATAAAACTTCAATGCAAATGCAAGCAATCATATGTTACACACATTTCAAAATGCAACAACCATGTTCACGAGC